ATGCATCAGTGGCAGAAGGTCAGGAACCACCCACAACAGGTACTGGTGAGAAGTGGCCCAAGCTCCCGGTGGTCTTCCACAGACAGACAGGATGCTCTGTAAGTTGAACTTCTCAGTTCCCATTCATTTCTGTTTACTTGGACAGGTACACCTTTACAAACCAGAGCATCTCCCAGGCACCAAGCACCCTTCCTGGCTGTGCCCACAGCTTATGTATTTCCTCCTGGGAGGAGGTGTTCTTTGCAGACATTAAAGGCTATGGTATGTTTAGATCTAGAGTCCAGTGCTCTTTCCCAGCCCTGGTGATGCCTGGGCCTTCTAGTGTAGCCTTGCTCTGTTCCCAGGACTTACCCAGCTGCCTCACATGTGTTTCTGAGGGTTTGCTTGAGGGACCGGGTCTGTCAGGGCCTCACTTGGACTGTTGCTGTCTGTGTATCCTGCAACACAGGTGGTGAAGGAAACTGCCTTCCTTGGTGGCACCTTTTTGTTTGCACGTCAGCAAGCAGCAGAGTGATCTGCAGGGCTCCCTTGTCAGTGATAGCAGGGTCTTCACAACTAGATTTGAGACCTCCAGAGGCCAACCACACCCAACTCAGTGTTTCCTACAGGTCAGACCCTAGAAACCTATGGCAGATGAGTTGCTGGGTAAGTCCTGAGAACAGAGCACAGTGGCACTAGAAGGTCCAGGTGTGACCACTGATGTGTCCAGGACTAAACAGCAGGGACCCAGGACTGTCGTCTTGAGCACCGGGCCAGCTAATGGAGAACTCTGAGCCTGCAGTGGAGACAGCGATTCCATCTGCAGCTGGAGACCTTCCTGTCTGCTCTCTCCTGGGCCAGTTTGCTCCAGCCATCATTCACTTCTGATGAGAGATGGCCTTGAGACTCCTGGGGCATTGCTTAATTCTGGAGCCCAGGGATCAGCATTTGGTTGGACCCCCCTGTCACTGTTGTCAGCTCTTTTGGGAACAGCAGGTCCTCTTTAGCTCCTTGGTTACAGCATGGCTTGCTAACCTTCCTGTGACAGGGCCAGTATCTACTTAAGCGTGAACAACTAACTGACTGGTTCAAGGATGAGCCCAGAGCCAGTAACACCTCTGAGCTACACTCTGCAGGTGACCCAATGAGGGACCCCTTGGGTTCCCTGTGTCTTTGCAGGTGACTTTGTTTGCAGAGTTGCAGGAGAGTTAGGAGCAGTGGTTATGGTGCCAGTCAGCCCTGGTCTCCCAGTCTCTCCGGTATAAAGAGCGCAGGATTTGACTTTTGGCCCGGCTCCTGCTACTGAACCCTTAAGTCCTTGGAATTCCTGAGCAATAGAAGGCTTTTGGTTATTCCTCATTTACTTATCCTTGGGCTAGTGAAGTGACTGGTCCCCAAGAGATTCCAGGGTTGGAGTGGCAATGATACCCACTGACCTGGGGTGTAGGGATGCGGGAGTAGAGGAGGGCTGGAGATTGACCCATAAGATCTCCACCAGTGATACTGGAATTACCTCCAGGTCAGTGAGTGAGGCAGATGTGTGGCCATGTTCTGGTTTCATGTCTTTATTTTATTTTTAATTTAATTTTATAAGTGTTTTGCCTGCATGTATATAAGTGCACTATGTGCATGCAATGTGGCAGAGGTCAGAAGAGAATGTCAAATCCCCTAGAACTGGAGTTACAGAGTTGTTAGCTGCCATGTGGAGGCCGGAAAACAAACCTAGGCCCTCTGCAAGACCAGCCAGTACCCCTAACCACGGAGCCAGTTCTCTAGACCCTCTAGTTCATTCCTGTTGCTGTGATAAAGCACCCTGACTTAGAACAATGCTTAGGAGAAAAGGTTTATTTGACTCACACAGTCACCTCAATGCCATGGGGATGGCGGCTTCTGTATCTGGGACCTTTCAGTTCAGGGTCCTGCACTTTTTCATCTGAATGTACATTTGTACCTTTAACAACAAACAAGGGTGTGGTCCATGGAAAGTGTTAAACCCTGTGTGTGCCATGTTTTTCCTGTCATGCATACCAGTAATGAACCTTAATTCACAAATGAAGCACATCCAGAGATTAACAACTAACACAGTAGAATATTCATCACAACATGCATACTTGAGAGTGATCTTATTCTTTTTAAAATGCTCTTAAAAATATTTTTATGTGTATGCGCGTCTTGCCTACATGTATGTAAGTGCACCGTGTCATGCAGTGTCCTCAGAGGTCAAAAGAGGGTATCAAATCCCCTGGAACTGGAGTAACATAACATTTGTTAGCCACCGTATGGGTGCTAGGAATCAAACCCTGGTCCTCTCATCACTCCAGCCCCAAGCGTGATCTTTTTCAGTACACCTTCGCATGAGGCACTTGCCCTCTGATGATGATGGTGAGACGGTACCAAAAGGAGCCTTTTCGGCTTCTCCTTGGCTGAATTGCTAGCTTGGCTGCGCTTGTGCTTTGTGGCCATTGCTAAGTAAGACTGAAGTTACTTGACACGAACTTTGCAGGACAACGACGGTTCGTCTGGTAACAAACAGCTGGTGAATAGCTAGTAACAGGCAAGTGGGCACATACCTAGTGTGGATATGCAGGATGGGGGTGGTTCATGTCTTGGGCGGGGTGGGGCAGGGGAGAGCTCAAGATTTCACCTGGTATTGCAGTGGCATGCAATTTAAGTCTTAAGTTGTTTGTTTCTAGAATATTCTATTTAATACATTAGACCTGAAGTTGATTATCTCTCTATGGTAGGGTCAGTGTGAACGCTAGGTAGATAGTGTCAGAGTTGACTCAGATGGTGTTACCCAGCTGATGACAGAGCTGATGTGTGTTAGTGTTACACACACCCTGTTCTAGGAAAAGCTGGGACCTGTTAGTTTGTCTGGCTTACATACAGAATCCATGTGATCTCATCATGGTATTGTTGTCTGGAATGCCAACTAATTTGTCTGCACAATGAACATCTTCCCAAAGGCTAAGTGACACGCCCCAACGAGAAGCCCGGAAACCCTGCACATGGGCCAGGGATTCAGTCAAACCACCCACTGACAAAGACACATGAGTGTAGAGACCATGTAGCTTAGACTTTAAGTCAACCACATAGAAAGGTGCTAGATCTAGCGGGAGTGTTTTGTTTTATATTTTACTTACTATTTTTAAATATGTGTATATTTCGTGCATGTATGTAAGTGTGTCTGTTGTGCAGTGCCTGTGGAGGTCAGAAGAGGGAGTCAAATGCCCTGGAACTGGAGTTATAGGTGATTGTTAGCCACCATGTGGGTGCTGGGCTGAGAATTCGGGTCCTCTGCAAGAGCAGCCAATGCATCTAACTGCTATGCCATCTCTCCAGTCCCCCAAAATGTTGTTACACATCGTGAGAGAGTCCTTAGGCCTTCAGAGCTCAGGGAGGACAGCAGTGGCTCACCCCCACACCCCAGACATGGTTGTTTCCATGCATGCTGGCTTGCTGCCCCACCACCACACTAACTGCCCCAGGGTTGGAGTGCCCTGGGCTGGTCTGCATCTAAACCTGGGGTTCTAGAGTTCTGTTCAGATGGATGTATAAAGTGGATATTGAGAGGTCAGGTGGAGGTCTCCTGGTGACACAGTGGGGGCAGGAAGCAGGAAGAACTATAGGAGACCCTCAGAACAAGGCTGTGACCCTGGGACCCTCAGGCTGTATGTGTTATTCCCAACATCCACTATTGACTTAGCCCCATTGGAAACCTGCAGCCAGGCCAGGTGCCTTTTGGGTTTCTAAAAATATTCATGGTAAGATCAGAATTAAAAAAAAGAAAAAACAAAAAAACTACCTTCTAGAACCTGTCACTATTCTCTACAGTGATCAGGGAGGATTGGTAGGGTAATTGTTTGGGCCTAGTGCCAAAGGATGTGGTAGCCATCTCCCAGTCTTCCTTATGACCCCTGGAACCTGGGCTGTCTTATCCCAGATAGGCCCAGTATCTTTTTTCTATCATGAAACCCCAAAGCTGTTAGAACCAGAATGGGGTCATGATTGGCAAGAAGAGGGTCGACCAGACACCCTAGTTTGATTCTCTGAGTCATACACATCAGCATTCCTACTCTGTCCCCTGTGACTCAGAAGCCCCCTGCACATTCCTATCTTCCTTGGGTCTCCTGGGCCATGACTTCTGTCCTTGGTTTGAATTCCTCCAAGGACACACAGGGTTTGGCTCCCCGGCTTGGCCTAATGTTATCTGTTTGTCCAACTTTGAAATCCTGTCTATGGGAGCTGTGTGACTGCCCTGTGATGTCACTGTGTTCTTCCTTAGTCATAAGTGACCACCAATGCAGGACTGCACCGATATGTATATCAGTGTGGGGCAGTTTATGTCATTACTCAAGCTGATTTTAAAGGAAAAGTGTGGTTTTATGAAGTTGTGTAGGTCTTCTTTCCTGTTTGGGAGAACACAGGTTATCTCAGTCAATCTGTGTCCAGCCTGTGTCAGACTTTGGTGATGGGTAGGCTCCAGTCTCATCCTTATATGAAATCAGAACAGCCAGATTGGTTTCTGAATATGATTTAAAACCAGGTTTAAAGGAATGACCGTGTGGTGTGCTCTCTGTTAGACCACTGGCGCTGGCAAGGCTCTCCCGGGCTGTGGTGAGCACCCAGTGCCCTGCTTCCTGCCTGCCTGCCCCAGCTGCTTTGCTTCTATCAGTGTGCGTTCCCTTGGTTGCTTTCTGAGTCTGTCTTAAATGCTTGTGGTCTCTGCAGAAAAGCCCACTTCTTATAAGCCTGGTGCAGACCAAACCCAAGTAAGCCATGGTAGCTCAGCCAGATGCCCTACGGCCAGAATCCCAGTTCAGCATATCTCAACTGGGGATTGTTTTGATTATTCTACAAAGGGCCTTTCATTTTTCTCTGGTAAATAAAAGCAATCTGTGATGGAATTGAAATCATCCGCCTTTAAAAGCAAGGGGGACTTGTGCATTCTGGTGCCATTCACTGCAAAGACTCCACTGAAACGTGCTGTTTCTGAAGCCAGTGTCTTCTCTGTCCCACAGATGGACTTTCTGGCCGAGACCAGCCAGTGGAGCTGCTGAATCCTGCCCGAGTGAACCACATGTCCAGCACAGGTAAGTTGACATACCATCTGTGCTTTGAGACCCTTCTTTATTGAGGGGGGTATGGTGGGAGGGGCAGAGTGGGCTATCCTTGGCTGGGAGTCCACTTACAGAAGTGGGCAGTGGCATCGTGCAGATTAAGTGGCAGAGAAATCCTGATCTTTCCTCCTGGGCCCTAAATGGTGTGTTTTTCTTGAAGTTACTGGGGACTTGTTTTATATGTAGCTCCAGGCCCTGGTCCAGTGCATGCCTCTGGCTCAGTGTGCCTGAGCTTGTAGCGGTCTAGCCTGGGGCCCAGAGCATGGCATCTCACACAGTTGTGTGCCCAGGCTCTATGGACCTGCCTCACAGCTGTGAGCAATTTGTCTGTTGCCTGTGGACTCTCAGTCTACCCAGTGTAAACTGATTCAAAGAGATTGGTGGTCTTTTAAGCATGCTTCTGTTCTTCAACAACAAAAAACCTCACTGATTGTGATTAGAAGGCTCTCATTCCACAGGTGATATTGCTAAATCTCAAACTTGAAATAGGGCCTGGAGGATGCAGCTTAGTTGGTAGAGTACTTGCCTAACATGCACAAGGCCTGCCCTGGTTCCATCCCTACCACACGTTAAAACTAGTACAGTGGTACCTACATGTAACCTGGAGGTGGAGGGCAGTAGGATCAGAAGGTCAGTGTTTGATTGATTGAGACAAAGAGAGATTGATATACTGTGTTAACTCGCATTGAAGTACTAGCTGGATGTGATGTTTTATGTCTGTAACCCCAACTACTCTGGAACTGAGGCAGGAGGATTGTGAATTCAGGGCCGGCCTGGGCAAACAAAATATCATTGTTTTAAAATTTTAAAAAAAGGTCTAGAGGGGTGTTTTTCAAGTCTATGGGTAATAGCAACTTTTTTTTCCTTTGCGTTTTCTTATAAAATGCCTCTTCCCATATGGAATCCTTCAGCGCATAAGCTGAAAACAGGCATCTCCTTCTTCTAGAACACAGGGCCTTCCTGTAGGCATGGGCCTAAGGGAAGTCTCATCCCTGCTCCACACACGTGCCATGACAGCAGTTCTGTCCCAAAGGCCCAGTCTGGGGCCTTTGCCCCACCACACTCTGTGGCAGTGCATCCACCATGCCCTCAGGGCCCACCGACCTGTCCTTGTCTTGCCCTCCCCGTCTCTTTTGGAAAGAAGCAGAAGCAAGTGTGAAGGAAGCCAAATGTTATGAAGATCCGCCTCTGCCAGCGATGCAGTCTGGGGCCAGTGAGTGCCGTTCTTGGCACAGAGCTCCAGTGGTCCCTTCGTTACCTTCTGAGAAGGTTCTCTAGCTGTGCCTGGTGCCTGCTCTGGGTCATCTTGCCCCCCTGCCAGGTGGCCTGACCCTAGGGTGCTGAGCACAGGTAAGAGCCCTAGATACTCCACGGACAAGCCTAATTTTTAAAGCTGACGTGTCTAAGTAGTCTTGCGTTTTATTTCCTCTCATGCAGTTTGTTGCAGTCACCTGGTTTACACTGACATAGTTTGGGCATTTTGAGATCGTTTCCTTGTGCTTGCCCACTGTGGAATGAGACGAGATTTTCTCAGATAGCCGGATGGGTTGCTAAAAGATGGTAACATCGTTTCCAAGCAAACTAGAAAAGGTGGGCTTCACGTTAGCTTTCTGCAGTGCACCTGACGCTTTGAGACTGGCTTGCTGCAGATAAAGATGGACGGTGGCTTTCAGTGCTGGCTGGCTGATCCACCTTCAGACTGCCGCTCTTGGCTGTGTGAATTAGGTTGCTCAGTACTTGGTTCTGTTTTCTCATTTCTTAGACAAAGATGATGATGTCTCCCTGCAGAGTTCTCACTAAGCTCAAATATGTGTGTCAGTGTTTTAGTAGTTCCTCCATAAATGTCTTTTAATGTCACATTAACTGGTGCAGAAGAAGGCGTGGGATGTAGCTGTGACGTGCCAGCTTAGGAACCGACTGTTTCCTTGCCCATCACCCTCATGTTCTCCCTTTGCTCCAGAGGTGGTATACTAGCAGGTGCCTCAGGAAATCGCTCTACCCATCTACCTCCTCGTAGCCAGGTCCCCTTGGCCAAATATAGCCTGTTTCCTAGTGTTTGTGGCCTGTTCTTGCTCTGTTGAAGCTAGAGAGTTCGCAGCATGATTTAAGCCTACATAGAAGCAGCACCATGAACAGCAGATGGGGGGACATGTCTTCACAGGGTGCAGGGCATCCATCATGGAGTCTGCATGCTGGTGTAAGCCCGAGAAGGAACTGGTGTTGAGGGCGTGCTTTTGAGCTCAGTTTTGGTCATTTTAACCAAATACAGAAATACCAAGGCTATGAAAGACCTTGAAAACAGATATGGAATATCTTTAGAGCTACATTTTTGTAATATGGGAGCAGAAACAGTTTGAGGTGTTTGTTTTTTTTTTAATGCCACTTTCAGTCTGTCCTGTACATTTCCTGACAGGTGACTTAATCTCACCTATTCTTTTGACATGACATGGGAGTGTGTTCCATTTGAATAGACATTCTTTCCCTTGAGTGGGAAGAGCCCAGACAGCCCTCCTTGCCACCTGTCATCTCATTTCTAGACCATTCCTTGTACATTCGTGAGCACAGGGAAATTCTGAAGGCCTTTTAGTTTGTAGCAAGCACTAGTTAGGGCCAGAAGCCGCCCTTGCAGCTCCCCTGTCGTCACCTGTTCCTTCGGTGCAGTGCTGAGCAGTGCTCAAACTGGAGTTTCCCTGGGGAGTTTAAGACTCACCTCCAACAAAGACTTGCCAAGCAGCAGCCCATCCAGACCTCTGCTCACTCCTGCCCCCACTCCTGCCCCCTTTGGCTCCTCAGAATGACTCTGCTTTGCTGTTGCGCTGGCTTTTCACTGCCAGGGGACAAGTTCCTGCTGACCTGTCTCCTCCCCTCCACTGCCCTGGGAACTCACCAGGCAGTTCCCCATTGGCTTTACTGCTTCTCCTTGTGTGAGTGACTGCCGTCCTTTCTATCCCATCCCAGTAGCTATGTGATAATGTCCCTAGCAGTAAGTGTCCCAAAGGAAGCAAACAGCCAGTGCAGGGAAACTTGACAGTCACATTGGGACTGAGAGTCTGGGGAAGTTTCTTAGTGGATGGAGCTAGCAGGGGCCAAGGGTTCCCAGGAGAGCGACCCTGCAGAGGGACCCAGGGGAGGAGCCAGGTGGAGACAGGGCACTTGATGGTGTCCCTTGTGCATTCCACACAAGGTGGGGTGTGAGGCAAAGCTACTGTCCTAGTGCCTGACTACCGTCTGGTCCACTGAAATGAATGGGTGTTTATAGGTCGGGGTGAAGAATTACGCATGGGCCCTTTGCTGTGTGATTGCTTCCTGCCTCCAATTTTTCCTTGAGGTGTGTCTTCCTTTTCCTCCGATTCGCTCTGGTGCCTGTTTCCTCCTAGGTTCTCTGTCTTAAGTGGTAGCAGTCTTGTTCGGTCTGAGCCCGATTGTCTGCTCATTTTAGGAGCGATGGGCTCCCAGAAATGGTTAGGGCTTGTCAGCATCCTGGCAAACACTGGCAGGTAGCACTCCGGACTTGCTCACCCCTTGCAGCCTCATTCTGGAATGGGTGCTGGGCACCAACATCTTGGGGCAGAAGACTAAAGCATTTTCACTACAGCCTGTGACCTCCACTTAGCTGGTTCTGTTCTGTGCGTCTTCTCTTCAGAAAGGGATCCCTGGCTTTTGCCAGTGGCACAGTAAAGGAACTGGTTACCTGGGCTCTTGGAGCAGATGATCAGGACTTCCTCGGCCTCCTTCCGGGTCCTGGCACCTGTCCTGTGCCTCAGAGCACTCAGCAGCAGAAGCCACACTGTGTTTCCCTTGGCAACTGGCCACTTCTTGGTGTGCATGCATGTGTTTGTGTGTGTGAGCGCACACGCGCATATGCTGCAGTTATATTTAGGCATGTGTTTGTGTGGGTGCATGTGTGTGTAGGTATACATGGGTGGAGGCCAAAGGTCAACCTTGTGTTGCTCAGTTTTCTGTGGCTACACCTTAGCCTTGCATAGTGTTTCCTGGTCCCAGCACTCAGCCTCCAGAGAGCCCAGTGCTGCCTTTGAGGGAGGGTCTTTTGGGGGCCATATCCTGTGCACCTAGTTGGACCCAACTCAGGTTTTTTGTTCTCAAGTGGTTCCCACACTGCCGTGGAACCAGAACCTAGGTTGGCAGATCGAAGGCTTCTTGATCAATGGGCTAAGTGTGTGGCTGGAGCAGATGGCAAAAACCAGGGCCCCGCAGGATTGGTGAAGAGCCCGAGGGCTGTCGGGCTAATGGCTTCTGTAAAGATCTCCTGAGCACTGTCCTTGGGTAGCCTGACTCTGTTTTACTCCCTCTTTGGCAGTCCGACCACACCCCTCCTATCTAATTTTCACCTGGCTGCACCTATTGGTTGACAGGAGGACACATGGGAAGTACAGATTCCAGAGAGGGCACTGCATCAGAAGGGCCCAGCAGCATCATTTATGCTGTTCAAGAACCCATTCCCTCCTTGAAGGTGCCCTGCCCCATGCTTGTCTCCTCATCCCTACTCCTCCTCCCCTCTGTTCATTTGGACATTCTTGCTCTCATTCAGCTCCTTTATTCTGTTCTTTTCTAACTTTTTAATATAAGCCGTTAAGGGCATACCTATTCCTGTGGGTGGCAGTCCAATGGTTTGTCATAAGTTCTGATTTGTGGTGCTTAATTTGTAAAATAGGTCATATCAATACTTTGTAAAATACTCATGTTTCTCAAGAGAGTTACTTTGAAACACACAGTATGGTCTATGAAATGATTTTGCCAGTAACCCTTTGGAACTGGTTTCTAGCTTATTATAGCATGTTAGAAGTTACTGAGCCTCTGGATTTGCAGACCACCTACCTCATGGTCTGTCTTTCTGAGACTTCGCTATGTGTCGGGAAGATTGTGTCCTCTGGTCACTTGCAGTCACGTATGTAGAGGTGAAGCGATCAGAGGCACCAGGTGTTGTGCGGAGCAATGGGGTAAGGAAGAGATCA